ATGTGGTTGCGCATAAGGCTCTCCACCTCACAGCTGTACGCGCGCTTTAATGGCGAGAAGCAGCCAACATCAAGCGGCTGGAGTAGGTGAGATGAGTGAGGTGGCATACAGAGCGTGTAGATGTTGTTCTCCTTGCAGAGCTCCTGGAACGCTAGAGATTGGTGGCTCTTATAGCCATCAATAATAAGCAGGCGACGCGCGCCTATACTACGAGCCTGCGTGTGAGCGTTGAAGTGCTTTAGCCACTCAACTCCAAGCTCATTATTCGTCCAGCCATTGTTGCTAACTGCGATTGCCTAGTCGCGTGGGATATCCTCCTTATACTAGGCTGATAGGTGGTACTGACCAGCAAAGATAAGGAATGGTGGCACTGACTAGCTAGCAGCGCTGATAGCAGCGATCAGCGTTACCTACTCGCGATTGCCTAGCTGAAGAGTCTTTGGCCTGCCTCTCCTCTCTGCTCCTGTTATAACCAGCTGTGTTGTAATCTTGCCTATTATAAAGCTAGCTTTATTAAAGTTATAGACGTCCTTATTGCAGATACCTAGCTTAGCCTTTATCTCTTCTATAAGCTTAAACTACCTCTTTATTAATATTACATCCTTACACAGAGCTTGCTGCCTATTGTACGCTTAGTTAAAACACGTCTGAAGACTGTCTGTACGCTTAACAAAGTTAGCTGGCCACTTCTGCCCAACCTGGCCAGCGCCGCGTGCAGCTAGCAGCTTATCAGCCATATCACGTGCAGCTGCGTAGGTAGGCGCAAATCCACGCTGATCTAGGTGAAGTATATAGCTGACAATCACCTCCTCTTCTCTCTAGGCAAGCTTCCTTGAGTTAGGCTGGCAATCGCGTTGCGCGCGCTTTCCAGCGCGCTGGTCAATTAGGGTTAATTTTAGGATATTAAAGACTGTAGCAGCGCGTCATGTACTCTGAATTTGGGCAGAATCTATAGATAAGAGAGTAAGCTAAATATCTGCTTCATTTAACTGCATAAGCAGAGCGCGGCGTGGAGGCATTGTGTGTTAAGATAGAGTAGGTGATTAAAGTTGGTGGGGTGACCGACTCGCTTGTCTGACCGACTCGCTTGCCAACCATGTTACTGTAAAGGTAGGCATTAATACAAAAAAGCTAACAGACTCTATTCCTAGCTTTATAATCCTAATAATTGTGCTTTAAAATAAACAATAAATTTAACTAGCGTACATTAGGAAAAGTTTTTCCATTGTTGAAATCAGGAAATTATAGCATTGTACTATAGGCTATAGTAGGACTTATAGGCCTATAATAGTTATTTAATATTTATTTAATGTCTAGCTAATTTTAAGCTAATAGCTCTAACAGTCCTAATAGCTATAATAGCTATAATAACTTCTAATCCTGCTATAATAGTAGCTCTACTTAATAAACTATACTTTTATTATATTAATATACTACTAAGTCTCCTCTTTAAAATAAGCTATTAAACAATATTATAGGCCTATTAATAGAATATTTATTAAGTGTAGAAGGTTTTAAGCTTAATATTCCTTACTAAGACACTAAGTTAAGATTCTTTACTAGGGCTCTAGCAGCCTAAATATTAGAAAATATAAGAATATTATTTAAGAATAGTAGGTAAACTAAGAATTCTACGCCCAGGCCTGCCTGTTCTGTAGTGTGTGCTTGTTAGCAGGTGCTTTGTTGTGTGCTGTTGCAGCTGCTACGTCGTGTGCTGTTGCAGCTGCAGCTGATACATTGTGTGCTGGCGCAGCTGCAGCTGCTATGGTGTGCTGTTGCAACTTCAAAACACAAACCTTTAACAAACAAACCTTCAACACTCTATAACTTGTGTTGTAGTAGGCCTACAATAATAATTTTTTGCTTATTTTAAAGCTATAATTTCGCTCTATCTATACATGAAATTTCGCAATTTTTAAATATTTAATACTAGTGCTAACGTAGATTATCACTGAGCTAGCTATATCACTAAACCAGCTATTTTCTCTTAGCACAACTAACACAAGTTACTACAACTACAACTACTTACTATTAAATAGTAACCTAGTATACTATATACTTATATTAGATTTAGAAGATGTTTCTGTACCCTCCTAGCACGTTTGTGCGTTGTGTCTAGTTTTACTGCAGTTCCTACAGCGCTAAACAGTTAACTAAGCTCCTAGTTGACCACCTCTACCCTAAGTCTTCTTAGATGGCTGAGCTGCTACACACGCCTCAGCAGCTACCTGTGATGCTGCTAGGCTATACTTAAGTGTGCCACTATGCTAAATCT